GAGAAAGAGATACAGCCTGTTAAACAAACATAAGCTGAGTTCAGAGAGAACCACTGAAGACAAAAATTCCCCATGGATGTGTTGGTAGTTCAGGTAAGGTCAGCCACCTAAGCAATGAGAAAAGACCAGAAGGATCATGTCTGTCTCTCGCAAAAGAAAACTGAATCAACAATGAGCATGGCTATATAGGCAGCCATACGAACCTTTACATTGCCTTATAATCATCAGGCAATACAGGAGACAAAAAACTAAGCCCCAGGTATTAAAAAAGTATGCTATCCTAGAATAAAACTGAAGATACTTCTCCTGGAACCACAAAGCTGAAATAAGATTAATGGCTTGCTGCATCCTATACACTCTCATTTACCAGTGTGCAAACCGAGATTGCAAAATAGCTACTACGTTTCCATTCAAAGACAGGTAGAGAAAAGAAATCCATGGTTCCTTATTTCTTTGGGTTGAAGTCTAGGTATACAGTGCCTGAAATACTAACCATTACTCAACAACACTGGATCTGCTTCCCACAAGAACCTCCAAGAGCTGTGACGAGTGCATGAGCAAAGTTCTGAAAGTGCTGGCGTTTTTGTTACTAAATATTATTCAATCTTAACAGCAGGAGCTAAGCATAGCAAGAATAAAAGAATCTTTACACAGTCGCCTACACTGTGGGATTAGATAGACACAGATTATTGAGGTATCCCTATTACCAGGATTCAGTTTGCTTTCTCTGCAGTGCCCGTGTCTTCCTCTTGCAATTCTGGTTGTTCAGTTAGACTGTTCATCTGCATTTCATCTTCCTGACTCCCTTGATTAAAGCAATTTACACAAGCTATGAAGAAAGAGACTTCAAAATGGCTGTTGCCTATTTTGTTTTAACTGATAACAGGGAACATCCACATAACAACAGCGCTGGTAAGAGGGAACATCCAATGTGTTTGTTTTCCTGCTTTTGTACAGGTTAACCTTTTCCATAACGAACAAACAATAGAGGAATTGACTGAAAATACTGAACATTCATTAAATATTACAAACATATTACTTTGCTGCAATGTCCAATATAAAGGATGTAGGAAGT